CTTCTACAAATATGTAAAAGCTGTATTCAGCCGAGGAGTGGTTGTCTTGGGAATTAGCCAATCTGAATTTCGATGATCTGCATTCATCAAATTATGATTTCGGTTTATGATATGATGCAGAAGTGGTGCGAGAACTTTTGGAGCTCAGCGAAAACTATGATTTTGGCCTGACATTATGTCATGAATATTCGTGTGGAGGCAAAATCTGAATGAGTTTTGTGAGCCAATGATTGAAGTGGACTTGAAGCCATTTATTTCTGACATATACACCCACCTGTTACAGAATATCGTAGAGCAATACCAATTGAAACCGTAGAGATCCAACCTACAGGTAGACGTAGAAGATGTGGCAGAAGAAGAAAGTCTAGCATATATATAATATTTTGTGGTTCTTTGGTGGGTAGATTTCATCACCATTCGAATATGCTCCGGCAGTGACATTACAATCCACACGAATAATTCTCACCTCATTGATATTCATGGACAATATCGATTCGTGAGTTTCACATATGCCAAAGTTATCGGCATCGGATCCATAAAGTTCCGTAATGATGTTTTTATGGTTGAGATCGATGTAATACTTCGATAACATTTCAGAGTGTTGTTGTTTTCATGTATGAGAAATACTTCGTGGATATTTTCCTCAACCTCAACCTCTTTGGATTTGATGACTTTTTGAATCACCTTAATGATTTTAACGATTTCATATGCCACAGGTGGAATTTTTATCATGGTAGGAGGTGAGTTAACTGTCTTCAAATAAGCAATAACGTTATTTTTCACTGAAACCACACTGAATATGAAAATTTACTGGACATGACTGACGAATTTTTGCTGACTATGTTTTTCATTGCTGGCAGCAGAAATTAGGCTGTACTCGTCGCTTTTTCAATGGTCTACCCAACTCATCCGTTTCATTATGGATCGCGAAGCGACCCTTGACTCGCGAAACGACCCTCACCTATACAATAGTGCGTATGCGTGGTCACTTTGTGGCGTGAGCGAGGCCCGCGAATTTATTGGCAGGCGTCTAGGTCCTCCGTATCCTCCAGGTCCTCAATCTCCTCCAGGTCCTCGGAGTTCTCCTACACAATTGTTGGAACAATTAATGCAGTATGTGTAGAAGTGGTTAGCTATAATGTGAAAATATTTTCCATTCGCTATGGAACCACCTTCACACCGAACACTAATATTTTATTATTCACACTAATGAAAGTAAAACTATGTGTTGATAAAATCAGCTGCTTGAATATTATTAGTTTTTTTACGATATGTAACGCTCCACTAAATATGTATTGGAATCATTTGCTTTACTCGATTCCATTTTATGAAAGCAAGCTTTGATCGGATGCCCATTTACATCTTCTAGCTCATAACTTAAAGGCTCTTTACTATTAATTTTCACAAATTCAAACTGGTCAGTGATGAATTTTGCTGTATAACGTGTATAACGTTTTTATACTTATTGATTCGAATCATATCTCCAATTTTAAATAGACTTTTTCCACATTTGGCACGTTGCCTTCTGGATATTGCATAAACGAATAGTTTTACCTCTGCAGGCTTTATGCTAATGGTGGCTGATATTGCTTTCAAAGGGGTTATCATCGGCTCATAGATTCTCTCGAGTGCTGATTGATCATCTAGGCGACTACTCTTGATATTGTTCCATTTCTTTCGAACAACATCCGTTGCTTCAATTTAACTTTTTTTCAGACATATTTCATCATCACTTTTTCCCTCCATAAAGTATTCACTTCAAGAGTGTGTACAATGAAGTGTGTCGTCTATACTATCTATCTTGAAATTGCTTGTATGTCACATTTGGGACAGATAGAAGCAATTCACATTCTTATGACGACCCATACTGAAATATGATCGTATAACACCCGGTTCCTCACAGAGCATAATATATTTGATGATGATCATGTGCATTTAAAAAAGATAAAATCTAAAAGTGTGTTCTACGTGTGTTTGTCAAACGGTCTGAATATATAATAAGCGCTAGTAGCCTGAAATTTCTCAAATCCATTGGCTTGAAGCTGCAAAATGAAAAATAGTTATATCATGACGATCTTCACCACAAGTGATGAATTGGAGGTATTCGACAAGCTCATGTTCGATCATTTCCTCATTAGCCTTCATAAACATATATACATAAACTGTATGATTCATCATAAAAAAAATTTAAATGAAATCACAATCAATTATCAAGACTGCCCTCGCCCTCGCCTTCCTCTTCGATGAAATTTATCTATGAATTTCGAAAACCCGACATAACCACCATAATGAAAACGATTATATTATTCAGAAAAACATATGCAAATTTGCTACTACCGATAGGATGGGGGCTTGATGTGAATGAACAAGATATATTGGATTCCGTCAGCAATATAATCAGCGGTAAATTACCCTTGAAGTATATCTTGGGTTTTGCTGAAGATTACGATAAAGCAACATTGAGTGTAAAGTAGGAGCTCATTTTGAATATAGCGCGCTCATTCAAAAATTCATTCATTGGGAAAGTTGATGCAGATTCAGAAATCAATAAAATACTGAACCGCATCAATGAAAGTGGTAATACTGCCAAAGTTAGGGTGGCTAATCGTATGTGGAACCTTTATAAATTACCCATGTTTACTTCATGAATTGGTTTTTACTAGCTTCTGTCGTCGTCACAAATACTCATCAACTATTCACTTTATATATTCTAAACTGAATGTGAACGTATGATACAGTGATCTCATATATAAGACATAATGAAAAGAGGAGGGAGTTCAAGGTAATGTAACGGTGACAGCCAAGATCGCACCTCAAGATAACGTATCGTAGACAGTCTCGAATCTCAAGGTCAAACTCTATGTTCATAGTCATATGGCATGCACATATCTCAATGTCATGAGACATTCTCCAAGATTAAACTTCGAAGTCACGTATCGGGGACAGTCTCAAATCTCAAGGTCAAACTCCATGTTCCAGGTCATTTCTTCTTGCATACATCAATAATGCGAGTAATATGATGTTATCGTTTGACGTCGATATTCTAGGTGCTAATGAAACTTGGCTGTATAGGTCTATCATCAATGACAACGTTATTATCGATGCGTTTCAATTTTCCCGTGCTGATAGAGCGAACAGGGGTGCGAGAGTTGATATCTACATCAGAGAGGGATTGGAGACATCAATAATTCAACTATCAAATGACATTGGGTAAATTTGGATCAATGTCAAACTGAAGTCGAATATTTTCGGTATTGGAGTCATATACAGACCTACAGACCTTCACAAAAAATTATTTTGATTTTTATAACAAATTTGAAACTGAACTCTCAACAATCATTACAACTGTTAATGAAGTTTGTGTCTGGGTGATTTTAATATCGATCTACGCGATTGTAATAGCAAAATCTCAGAGATTGCAAATGATACCTTTGAATTGCTGGGTCTGAAACAGATGATACATGAACTGATGCACAAACAGATAAGTTGGCCACTTTATTAGACTATGTACTAAAAAGTAATGAAGATATTTTAGCGGATGTAGGAGTGAAACATGTACCAGAGATGCTATAATAAAATAAAATCTAGAATTTTGACATTACGTTATGTTACTACTAGAGACTTCAAACTTTTGAACTATCCTTCTTTTCATTCACATCTGAAATTCATCTCATGAAGAATCATTTATGAACTGAATGATATAGGCAGCAGAGTTGATTTTTTGTCGATAGCATCACCACCCTCTTAGATATATATGCATCATTTGTTACTTACAGAGTCACCAAACTATATGCTTCTTGGCTTACAGATACAACTAAACTCATGATGAAGAATAGAGATGAGGTACAAAAATTGTTTGAAAAATCTGGAAAAGTAACTGATTTCAGACTTTAAAATCAAATGATGAATATGGTTACCTTAGCTATAAAAAATAAAAAGGCTTATTTTTAAAACAAACTGAGGACCCTCCAGACTAATTAAATTTGGTCCACTCTCAAAAAATCGATAAACTTTGAACAAAACAATACTTATTCACCGGAACATTTGAATGATACTGATACTGTAAATGATCATTTCATTAACAACAATCCTAATCTCGAACCCAATGAGGACATTATCAAATATATAACGTATTTAGTTAACAGATATGCAAAAAACTGAAAATTAATAAAGACCTTGAAGTCGTGAGCCGTAGTCCAAATTCAAAGCTCAAGGTCAAGTACCAAGGTCATTTTCGAGTATCGAGGACAACTTTCATTTTCAAGGTCATATGACCTTGCCGTCGTTCAAGGTCAAGGTCGAGTATTGTGGGAGGTCCACGATCGGCCTTAGGCCACTACTAACCCTACTTTTTGAGGCAACTTTGACGGGGTAATTATATTTGGAATTCTTGTCGGAGACTTTAGTTGAGTCGTTAGAAGAATTGCCATTGAATATTTTGGGAAAATATCAGTATTTCCAACATGATGGACCTCCCCCACATCGTGGAACTTTTTGCAGAGACTTCATCAATACGATTATGGCACCACGTTCACCTGATCTGACCTTTCAGAACTTTTCAATGTGGATCTTCATAAAGACAAGGTTTTAGACTCAACTATTGGTAATATGGACGAATTGAAAAAACATTTTCTGTTTGTTACTCTGTTACTGTTTGTTACTCTTCCGATATTTCGAGTTATTGCATAGCTTTGAGTTGCCATACCCACAAAATGTTGGTCCCTACTTTTTTGAGGTACCTACCTCTGACCGAAAATTGTATTACTATACAGTGATGATGAGAAAAACGTTGGGAAACACATGTATTGCAATATATAGCTGAATGTATTAAGGTACATGTCGACTAGCAAGTAACTTGCGACAGTTCTTGCGAAAGTGCTTTCTACAAGGGTGTCCACATGAACGCAAATATTGAAGCAAGTTGCTCTCTGCAAGTATCTGCAGGCAAAAGCCTTAAGGTTTTTGGCAACAGGTAAGTGTACTATACATAATAGAAAATGTTTAATGAGAACAATATATTTCAAAAACGTAAGACGAATAAAATTATTTAAATTTCTTGTTTTTTTGGTGACTCCTATCATTCGCTCATGTATATATTCAGAATTCCTGTATGTACGATTGGTCGCCTAGTACCTGAATGTTGAATGGCTCTGTTTCAGGCTCTGAAAAACGAACATCTAAAAGTAAGTAATGACAAATAATATATCTACGCATTATAATATACCTTGTTGTGATGAAGTAACAGCATAATTGGAAAAATATGATGAAGTCGAAGAAGGTCTTGTATTCCACGAAGATGCAGATGTTACCTCCTCACTTTCTGCCATTTCTAGTATTACTCTTTGGATTTTAATTTTCANATATTTCCACGTGAGATCGAAAGCTTTTTCAATATCAAAAAATATAGCTGTTAGATGTTTTTGTTTGACGAAGCTGGACTGTATTTCATGTTCCAAACAAGAAAGTGGATCTAAAGTCGAACGGAATTTTCGGAATCCTGCTTGGAATCTGGAGAGAAGGTTTCTATTCTCTAAACACCAGGTTAGACGGTTGTTCACTATTTTCTCCAACAACTTACTTAGGCAGCTGGTAAGAGAAATTGGGCGATAACTCTCAGGTAAGGTGGGATCTTTACCAGGTTTCAGAATTGAGATAATATGAATTGAAGGGGTTATATTTTTAGGAGTGATTATTTTTTTGAAATAATATGAACCTCTTTCCATCTTTCAGGGTAGGTTCCTGTAGACCAAACAACATTGAAAATGTGTGAAATGTTCATCTTTTGTTTTTCAGGAAGATGTTTTAGGAATTCGTAGTGGATTTTGTCAGGCCCAGGTGCTGAAGGTTTTGCTGTGCTTAGCGCTTCCCTGAATTCATCCATAGTGAGAGATGAGTTGTAATCATCTCCTCTCCTCCTCTGAAAATTTATTATGTTTTGTTCGTATGCCTCTTTAATATCAAGAAATGTAGGATCATAGTTTTCTGATGAGTTGATGTGTTGAAAGTGGTCACTAAAAATTTCAGAGATTTCTTCTGGAGTTGTTATGTCATGTTGGTCCTGGATGATGTGAATAGGCATATTTCAGCTAGTGATTTGTCTGCGTTCATAGAGCTCGTGAAATGTTTCCAGCTTTCTCTTTGACTCTTCATTTTTAGATTCCTTACTTTCGCACGCAGACGTTTGAAGTTTGATCATATTATCTTGTGTGGGTCTTTTCTTGAATACGTTGAAGGCATGTTTCTTTTCTTTAACAGCTGCAGCAATATCTCCGTTCCACCATAGTACTTCTCTCTGAGCTGTTCTATTTTTGGTCCTCGGTATTGATGTATAGGCTGCTTCTAGGATAGCATAAGTGATATTTTCAACTAGTGAATTGATGTCACCTAGACTTGGTGTGAAATTTTCTATTGTAGCATAGAATTTGTCCCAGTTGGCTAGATGTAGACGCCATTTTTCAAATTTATGTTGTGGTACGAATCTGTTGGCGCAATTAATGGAAATTGGTATATGTTCTACAGCAAAGTCGTCTAAAACTATCCATTGAAGATATGGTGCAATTTCAGGAGAACAAATGTTAAGATCTATCGCTGACAGACAATTTGAGCGAGAATTGAAGAAGGTACCTTTCCCTGTGTTGAGGACTATGAGATCTAATTCTTCAATTATTTCTCCAATTATACGTCCACGGTGATCCGTATCTTTTGAGCCCCACAGATTGCTATGTGCATTGAAGTCACCCATTATCAAATGGGGCCTAGGAATTTGTTGGAAAATATAAGACAATTCAGCTTTGGTCCACTGATCATTCGCAAGGTAGACATTACAAATAGTTACTGAAATGGGTGATTTAATTGATATCGCCACAGCCTGTAGATAAGTTTGTAGTGGAATATTTTCAACCATTATAGATTCTCTAACTAGCGTAGCAACTCCTCCATGGGCTCTCGCTCCTGGCATGACATCATGCCGAAAGATATTGTAGCCTCTGAGACTATATTTCTCATCGGGTTTCAAGTGAGTTTCCTGGAGGCATAAACAGAAAGGACGCTTTTTCAGCAGAAGTTCCTTTATATGTATATAATGGTGGTTGATACCATTACAATTCCATTGTATGAGGTTTTCGTATTGGTTCATTATAATAGTAATGATGCTTCCAGTAGATCTGAAATTCAGGTATTATCTGCTGATAACATACGATTTAAGGCGAATGTAATTATATCACAGTTATTCTCACAGTTTATATCACATTTTATATCACAGTTTATAGAGTTTATATCACAGTCTATATCACAATTTCAGTAAAATTATTATCAGTTCCTAGTTCTTTTGTTACGACCCCGACCACGTTCGGAGTTCTTTTTTGGCTGTCTACTTTTGGATGTATTATTTTTATTATCTTCTTCTGAACTAGGTTCTAATTGACCTCTATCTCGTTTTTTTTGTTCCGATGTGGTCGAATAGTTGGTGGACATTGAGTCCGTTCGATACCTGCTGGGATTTTCTGTTGAGGTCTGAGGTGACCTAAATAGTTCACCTGGTGAAGATTTGTTTGCAAGTACATTTTTTATCATTCCTTCTATTCTTGGCAGAATTTGAGAGATGGCATCTGTAATGGTTTTATTTTGTGTTCTAGTTCCATCAGCATATGAAACATTCGCTTATTTTTTGTATAAGTTGTTATTTTGTTTAGGTGGGGCAATTTTTGTATCCAGCTGAATGGGGTCCTTCACAGTTCACATATTTCTTTGGTTCTTCACAAGGAGTTCCCTCAGCTGGAAGCTTTCCACACGTGTATATTTGCTCCTTAGTACAATTATTTGCGACATGACCAAAAGTTTGACATTTGAAACATCTTTGTGGTGGGGGAATGTAAGGTCTAATCTTCAGTTTATAATACGCCACATTGATCTCTTTGGGTAGATTAGGAGTGTTGAAAGTTAGTACGTGATTTGGGGTATCCATATATATACCGTCTTTTTTAGCTTTCAGTCTCCTGACGTTAATTACTCTTTGAGTCACTAGACCGTCCATGATTTCTTCAACACTACAATTTGAAAGATCTCTACAAAAAATAACTCCTTTCGAAATATTTAGGGTAGGGTGAGCAACTACCTCTACGTCGTAGTCTGCAAATTTCCTAATTTCCATCAATCTACGTAATTGTGTATTAGATTTTGTGTTAATTAATAACCCACTTTTCACTTTTTTAATAGAGGTAACTTCACCTATCAGACCATATACTATTTTTGAGATCAAAAAAGGGCCACCTTTTTCGAAATCACAAACTTCACTCTCATCTTGAGAGATTCTCTTAACAAGCAGGAACCGAGGTTTGTTTGTTACCCACCGTCCCCTGTCTTGTTTCGAGTGTTTCATCGACACTATTGAGAGCAGTTGTATTTGTGGCAACGCTGCTTTCTCCATTGCCTTCCAGGTGCAATTGATTCACAACGGGTTCAGCACCATTATCCGTTGCATTTTGTGAATTAAATGTAGAACTTTCCATCTAGTTCCCACGAGTTGGGATGAATAAAGTCCACTGCAGCAGTGCACCCATACCGCAGAGGGGCTGAATACAAACGAGGATCGCCTGGTACTCGTAGGACACCGTTCGTGACTCACTATCGCAGAGCCATTCACCCATCGACACGGTACGATTGACATCTTGGGTTACGGATTTTTCGAAGGTTTTCTCCTTTCGAGTTGTCCTTCGCTTCACTACTCATCTTTGACCTTACCGGCATTGGTGACCCTACTGGAAGCGTTGTACTCCCGCCGGCAAGAATCATTGCAGTTACTGAGCCCCTTCACCCTGGCAAGGTCCCATAACTCCTCGAAGGGGTGATTTGACTATGGTCGTGTTCATTGTTGGTATTTTCTGGTTGATTTTCAAGATTTTCGGATATTGTTGACTCCTGCAAAAATTTCAGTTTAATAATTAACTTTAGGTGCATTCAACAATATAAGATTGTTTTTTAGGTTCCTCAAACAACTATTGAGTGGGAGACACATGCAAAGTTATTTGAAAAACACTGGCAGTTTCCACATTGTTTTGGAGCATTAGATGGAAAACACATAGCGATGAAAGCACCTGCACACAGTGGCAGTTTACATTATAATTATAAGGGCTTTAATAGTATTGTTTTAATGGCAATAGTTGACATTGGAAATTATGGAAGAATTTCAGATGGAGGTGTATTTAATAATTGCACATTGTCACATGCTCTAAAAACGAACACCTTAAATTTACCTGCTGCCCAGCCTCTACCTGGGCGTACAAAAGATGTACCTCACGTTGTTGTTGTTGCTGATGCCTTCGCTTCAAAACCATATTTGTTGAAACCATACCCTTTTCAAGGACAGCTAGCACCTAATCGTGTATTCAATTATCGTTTATCGAAAGCTAGACGTATTGTTGAAAACGTATTCGGTATTATTGCAAACTGATTTCGCGTTTTACGAAAATCGATAGAACTTTCTGCCGAAAAAAAACGACAATTATAGTATCTGCAATATGTGTACTACATAATTTCGTAATGAGAAATCAAAATAGCTCATATGCACCTCCAAATAGCTTTGACACTGATACACAATCTGGAGAATGGAGACAACTTGGAATGCCAACATCGAATTTGTTAAATTTGACGCGAGGGCAAGCTCACAATTATTCAGCATCTACCAGTGATGTAAGGGACGAATTCATGCAATATTTCGTTTCTCCCCAAGGAGACATAACTTGGCAATATAATTATATATAACCGCTTTAGCATTTTTATATTTTTTTGCATGCAGAGAACGAATAAGAATCCTTTCTATACATGGTAACGGTTTTCTTAATGTTCGTCAGTGGCGTCTCTATTTACGAACCCTGCAATATTTTTTATCGAAATCATGATACGCCACTGTCAGTTTTTCAAATGAAATAATAATTTTGTAATTGACCCCTATCTTCTAATGAAAATGATATCTTGCTTTTCTTTTCGTCCATTGAACTATTTTTGAGCTAGGAAATAAAATGAATTAATTTGCTTGTCCCTATTAATTTTTTCCCTTATAATTTCACAAGACAGCTAGATGGATTTGTTATCCAACACCAGACAGGGTTGTTTTGTTCTAACATGTCTAATCAATAGTGCTAAGCTGACCACTGAACTGTCCTATGAAGGACATGCCTGAAAGCCTGCAGCGAAAGACCGAGGACGAATCTCTTTAAGCGATCGATGTCGAAGCTTGCCTTTGCAACTGATCGCGTTGAGGACCTTCGTTTACCTTTGATACTTGAGGATTGAGTCTTCTGTCAATCCCATAGATGGAATCGTCGTAGTGGGAAATGTCATCG